TTGGGCAAATGTAGTGCCCGCTCTCTGATTTATCAGCCTGACTGCCGTGCTGTGTTCAGTTCTTCTCAGTCATCTTAGAAACACTTCCTCCACCTCCTTCAGCATGCAAAAACACTGCGGTAACTTATGTAAACCACAAACAACTGCTGTACAATTTTTGTCACTAAATCTTAGTTAGCACCAACAGGTTCTTCTTTTACCAGTATCTGCAGTTTCTGTTTAACAGCTCTACTGTACGCATTGCCCCGAAGCCTCATCCCCAGGCTAAAGCAGAAGGCAGAGGAGCTCTTATCTGCCACCGAGCAGGTGGAGGTTGGGGTTCAAGCTCTCCATCTCCTTTTGGCAAAGCTACTTCCTCTAACTCTACTAGAATATTTTCATTCCCCCTTGAGCCATGAGGGTTTAGCTGTGTCTGGGTCTCTGGCCAGCCAACACTCTCACCTCAAGCAGCCTTTACACTTCCTAGAGAACCCCCAGGCTGGTTTCTTTATGACTGCAGAGGCAAGAAATACCGTCCCTTCCCAATTCTCGTCAAGGCAGAAAGAGTTTTTTCCTTGGTGTCTAATTCTCCTAAGCGTGTTGGAGTTTTCCTGTTGCGGTCTGCTAATTTCCAAGCAGAGTTGCTTATAAAAATTTCCCTCTCTTAATTTCAACACATTTTCCCTTGCAGCAGAGCAACGGAAATGGTCGCAGGCTGCTGGCTTTCCTGGCTTGTCTTTCAAGGAAGGCTGCAAATTCATATTTCCCAGGAACTACAGTTCCCAGAAGACATCTTATCTTCCCCCAAACCAGGAACCAAGGCTCACTGGCTCCGGCACATCTTCTGAAAGGCTTCCTCCTCCTTACACAGCGATGACCAAGGAGGGGACGAGGCCTCCTGGAGCAAGCTGGGCAGGAGGGGAGCATGCATGGGGCAAGGCCAGTCCTGCTGCTGCCGTTCCACATCTGTCTCAGCACAACCTCTGCTCGCTCAGAGTCTGTGCAAAGCCAGGGGGAGAGCATCGTGAGGTCACAGTCTGAAGGCACTGCTTCTTCTTATATAGAGCTACAAAATCTCAAACAAAAGCATGGTGTTTAAAGGGCTGGCTGGCAATAAATGGTTTTAGGGACTGCGTGAGAATGGAAGAAATTCCCTCCTCAGCTGTGTGTCTCCAATGAAGTAATATTTCAGCAAGTCTGCTCTTAAGAGTCCAGCAAATCGTCTTCTTCAGCCTCTGATCAGACACGTTTGTGGCATCCACTTGAACGGCGTGCTGTGATGCCAGAGGCCCCACCGGCTTCCTCCTCCCAGGGGAACAGTCTTACAAAAGATTTTAAAAGGACGGACTTAACTCCATGGCCCTAAGCAGTCTCTGTACCGTTTCATGTGATGTGACTCAGCACCATACTTGGTCACTTAACAAGCCTTAGTGCTCCTAATTAAAACCAGTCCTTCCCCAGACTATGGCTGCGGAGTGCTGTCTCAGTCAGTAAAGTCATTAATAGCGGTACCACCCTAAACAAACCTATCTGCGCGGGGGCTGTAATCTCCTGAAGTGATCTCTGGGTTTTGCAATCAGAAGTCAAAGGTGTTCCTTTTATGACATCCTTCTAAAGTCTGCTTTTCAAAACGTTTAATGCTCACGACTGCATCTCGAGTCACGAGGAGACTCCCAAAAATCAGATAGCAAGGTATGTCATCGGCAGTTTAAAAGGTCCGATGCTGGCATTTGCAGTGCAGAAGGATTAGGCTCAGTTTCCAGCAAGTCAAAGAAGTTGGTTAATGAGCATTGTTGTGTCTTCAGTGCTTTGGGACGTGGGGTGCAAACACAAAAAGTCAGGCTGGTGTTTCAAGAACAGCATACTTCTCTCCCTTGTTTGAGCAGGACGTGACACCATCAAAGCAAGGCAGGTGGACTTAGCTGCTCACTGATAGCAATAGATTACCGAAATAAATACTGACCTTCAAACAAGTACTAGCACTAATATAAAAACTAACCTAAACACATAAACCTAACCCTTGCCTGTTTTTTTTTTTTTTTCTCCACTGGAATGTACTCCAGAGGGTGTTCACTCAGATCTCTCCTGGGGAATCTCAGCATCCCTTTTCATCACTAAATGAATCTTCAGGAGACCTTCACTCTGCGAGTTCAGCCTGAACCACCAGCCTGACAAAAGCTGCTGTATCAGGAACTAGAAGATGGAATAGAAAAGTGATTCAGTGTAAAGATGAGACAACCTTTCGAAAACCTTGAATCAAGCACTTCTGAAGAGTTTATAACAAATAGCCCCACTTGCCAAGAGTAAATCTGTGACAGGTATCACACCCCCACTTCTTATGACATTTCTCTGTTCCACACAGGAGGAAAATAACAAAGTGCTATCGCTGCAGAAAGCAATCAGATAATCCTTGGTTTTAATTGCTGCTGGCAGGGAGGCCTCATTGTGCTCCAATTTCAGTGAAGCAAGTTTTAGTCGCTGAAGTTCAGCCGCTAACACCGCACAAACCTTCGCTACCTCTCCCCCGAAAGACTGGAATTTCAGTGAACGTCATATGTGATGCTGAGTATTTATCTGAAATAATTAGCCAGCTGGCTATAAGTAGCTGTGCACTGTGGCATGCGATGGCTGCGTGAGATGCACCCAAGAAAATGCAGGTGACGGGTGGGACAGCCACCTAGAAGGGCCACGCATTTCCAGGCTGTTTGCAAGAAAATCAATATTTGGACACCTAAACATGCCACAGCCATCTTGGTTGGAGATCACGGGAAAGGAGTGTGCTCCCTCCCCAGCTGCTTCTTAAAAGTGTCCCGGGACCGGCCGTGTCCCTCGCAGGACAGGGATGCTGTATGCACTGGGTCCCCCAGGACCAGATGGGCACCAGAAGCAGGAGGAGAAAAGCAGAGCTACCCTGTCAAGATATTTTAGCAAATTTCAAATAGCTGAGTGGTTTCATACTGGACAAGCACGCTGTGTCAGGGGCCAGGAGTTTCAAGCAAGAACTTGCAATCCTGAAGCACCTTTTACTCGGCCATCATTGTGCAGCCCCTCTCTTCTCCACCTCTATTCACCCACTTTTAAAGTAGTGCAAATACTCTCACAGCACAGATCTGTTAAAAATGATGAAGAAGTGGTTGGCCAGAGTCCTAGTTTTGCCTGGCTTTCTGAAAACTGCAGGGATTTTTCCTTTCCATTTAATATGGTTAGATGCAGGAATATTATACAATTTTTTTCCCCACTGCTCCGAGATAAGAAGTCACTTCTTCCTACATTTAAAACAATAAAAATGGAACTAGTTATTATTTAAAAAAAAAAAAAAAAAAAAAGGAAGAAGAGTAAAAAGGCCACGAGCTCTTCCTTTCTGGCCTTTCAGCGTAACCCTAAAGTGACGTCGGAAAGAGGAAGCACCTCAGAGCTGGAGCAGCGACGGGCAATCCCACACTGCGTATCTTCACCGGCTTATCTCTTAACTTCACCCATCTTGTGGGTCAGCAGTCTCCAGAGTAGAGGCACCCTGGTCCTCTCTGCAGGCTCCAGAAGAGCTCCAGAAATAGCCACGTCCACGGTGCGGCGCTGGGATTTCACGCTGCTGGCTGTCCCCCACAGATTAGCGCCCAAGCACGGCAGGTCACGTCATTTCTGGGGACTTGACAGTGAATTTAGTTCAGACCCAGGTAAGTGCTGGCTGGCTGGAGTGGGAGTTTGCCAGGGCTGACTCAGCGGGGTACTTCTTGGCGTGAGCTTTAATTTTGAGAATTCCACTAACAGCAGGAGAAAGTGATGTGAAATTGTCCTCTCCCTCACCGGCTCAACTCCATTCCTGACTCCAAAGTGTGATTTTGCTTTAAATGCAGAAGGAATGGTGCTGCCAGGAGATAAGGGTGTTTGGATCTGGGATGGGCAGTTTGCTCACGGCAGCCCTCAGTTACTTAAGTCAATACTAAATACAGACATGCAGCTCTGAAACACGCCCAGCTGCAATCTTCACTCCCCTAAACCAGCCTGGAGATGTCTGGTTATGGGGAGAACCCAGGGATTTGGAAAGAGGTGTTTTCTGAAGCAGCTTTTCAGTTCAACGTTAATGCAATTTCCAAGTAAATGCTGGTCGTTTCCATACGGGCCTGCCTGGAGAGATGCCAGGAATGATGCTGTGAGCCCAAATAAATGCCAGCCCTTCTTGTATGAGCACAGAAACCTCCCGTATCCTCAGCTGGAAATGGGGGCTGTAGCTATGGAGCAAATGCCAACCAAACACCTCGCACTCATGACCTCCATCTACATGTGTCAGAGCCAGAAAGCTCCCAGCAGTGACCTTCCTCCAGCTGATCTGTGACAACTGGCTACCTGGGTATCCATTAGGGACTGGCAGAAAGTTAAAAAACAAAGTAAGTTAGAAAATGAAAAAAGTCAAACTGGACGGCCCACCTCTGGGTGTGCGTTACAGGCTGCTCTGTGTGATACTTATAATTAAATTGCTGAAGAACCGGTTCTGGTTTAGGTTTATGTTCCCTCAATAATGTGACAGAGGGTAAAACAGAGTAATTTGGCACTTCACAGACACTTTCATTTGAAGGTTTGATAATGAATGACACTTCGAAGACTGCGTGCCCCTGGTTGTTCTGTTTGTTAGGGGGGGGTTATATATTCGCTAATAATTTTCAGAAATCTATAATGGTACGCTGAGTGCCAGCTGAGAAAGTGCAAAAACCGGATGAAATGCCAAAATTTTCAATGCTTTTCCTTTAAGGCTTTCCTCTGTTGTAAGAGGACCTGATGGATTAGCCAGGCAAAAGGGCGTTGTGGTACACGAAGGTAAACACCATGCTGCTCAGCACGTTGATCCTGAACCTCAGATAAACACTTGTGTCCAGTTATTTCCTTCAAAAAGAATTGCATGTGAAGGCGACTCACTCTGTGTTGCACACTTGGGTGTTTTCATCTGCCAAGCACACTGGTCCTCCCAGATTTATGGACAGAACTGAAGGAAGGTGAGAATATACCCCCAGCAGTGCTCTTCTGAGGTCTGTGCAGCTCACGTGTTGGTGAGTACGAATAGAAACCATTGCATGGATTTTGTATGTAAGGTTTTGTGTTTCTTATTTATTTTTCCAACTTGGTCTTCCTTTTTCAGTTTTCATCCTATGGCAAAGCCTGGTTTTACATGTTTTACTTGGGCTGTGCAAAATGACTGGGAGTCTGGGGAAATAAAAAAAAAAAAAAGGAATAGAGAATTATGCTACTGGTTTTAGTGGAGGGCTTGAGCAAACAGAGCAGAGCACTGAGGAACTGGGACTGATGGCAGCTTTGAGTTTGGTCTAAACCCTGGAAAGGCAGCACATAGCATTTCTTACTGTCTTTTTGCATGTGTGCTTGTCAAAAAGTAAAATAACTTTTTAAAGACTAGCTTTATGCTATGGATTTTCTGAAGGAAAAATAAAACTTTTTTGGTGTACCTTCTGTTGGGGGGTGGCACCCTCTCCAGCCTGCGTTTTCCTTCCACGCGTTTGCACACCTTTGCTGCACGGTCCCGCAGGGTGTCTGCTCCTTCCCTGGGGGACTTGGAGGTCTCCTCAGCCCCCCGTGTTCAGCTGTGCTGGCTGCTGCTCCTTCTGCCTCCTCTGCAGAAAGCCTGTGGGGTTTTCTAGCTCACGGTGTCTCAAAACTTTCATGATTCGTTCAACTCCCATTTTTTTTCCCTGTTGGGATTCATTCAATGGGCTACAACACAAAAATCCTCTTCCCTCCAGCCACCCTTGCCCACGGGCTGCCAGCGGGATGGTGTGTGCAGGAGCCAGGGTGGTGGCAGGAGGGGACAGAACCATCCTGGCTGCTAAGCGGCAGCCCGGGCACTCCAGAGGGAGCATTGGCTAGTGACCATATTAAGGAGCAAAGTCTGAGAGTTACCTCCACCTTGGCACCATCCCCTCTTCTCCAGAGCACTGAACAAGCTCCTCTGAACAAGAAATTTTCTGATTCAGGTGAGTCAGAAACTGGGGAAACGCTAATGCAACAATAATCATGGTAAAACCCTGGCTCTCTGTTGCCAGGAAGACAGAGGGGAACTGGTATAAAATGTATTGGGCCAGTTTTCTAACAAAGTTTTGAACAGGAAAGTTTTGAAAGTTATAACAGAGCTCAGATAAAAAGGAAATCAAGTAAAAGCAGCTGCATTACAAGTTGCTGTGGGAGAAGTGACTTTCTTGGCAGGGCTGTAGGCAAATTTGGAGCATTTAAGATCAGAAACAGAAACTCCCTTATCTTCTCTGACCATCTCTCTACCCATCTGCCCAGATATTTGTAAGTTTTTAAGTATTAATGCTAGAATAAACTATTCCGATCATCTTGTCTGACCTGCAGTGTCAGTCAAGCCTCAGGATTTATAGTTTCCTTGAACAAGTGTAGCCTTTGGAGGGAAAAAACCTACAGTCTTTAATAAAGTTATTTTTAATGATGGTGATTCCACTCCACCCGATGATGGACTGTTTCAAATTGTGTCAAATCCAGCTTCGTATGGTTCGGATTCTGACATTCAGGTGAGATCCAAGAAAACATTTTCATTTCACAAGAGTAACTTTCCAATAGTATAAACAAGGATTGGAGGAACCAGGAAAGAAGTGTATTGCAAAAGCACGAAAAAAAAAAAAAATTATTCATATGTTAATAAAAAATTAAGTTGATGAGCTAATTTTGAGCATTTTAATAGTGTGAGTGAATGAAGCCAGAATTTTAATGAAAATATCCAGAATTAATACTGGCAGTAGCTGTAGGCACATGATGCAGAGCATGACTGGAATACACAGAGCTAGCACCAAGCAAAATGCAAAAATGAGAATATAGAGAAAAATACACTATTTAAAAAAATGCACCTGTAGAAAGAGATGTGTGCTATAGAGAGAGATTTTGTAGTGCTCTCTCCATATGGGCTCTCAGGCAGTCAGAACAGCAATAAGGACAAAATGGTGTTTACCCAAGCTAACAAGGAAAAGCAACTCAGGACAAACAGTATGGAACATTGTGAAAGAAGCAAACAGTGTCTCAGAGGATGAGAGATTTTTGCATATACTTAATTAAAACAGAGGGGAAAACGAAAATAAAGTGGGAAGGTTGGAGCGGTACTGCATCCAGAGACATGAGAGCAACTCAAGAGTTGGTGGTCTGCTGGCTAGCACAGCATATCTCAGCACTGTACAAGAGAAGAAAAGGAGATTTACACCAGATAAAACCAACTTAAAATTACGCAATGACCATCATGCTTCCTACCATTTCCCCCTCCCCGCCTTGAAGTCTACTTTAAAAATAGAACATTAGGAGGAACTTCAACTCAGAAACTGTTGTTTTTAATTTAAACAAGAGAACATGTGCACCTAGAGGTATAAAGCCAGGGGGAAATGATTCAGAGAACAGACACATAAGCAGAACAATATTATGTCCAGAACTTGTACTACGATTGGAGAAAACGCAGTCGCTTTAGTTACAGCACGCCCGCCTAGCCCTGCAATGAGTAAAACACTTTTAGGAGAGGCATCAACCAGCCTCACCTCTGGCTGATCCATCCTCAGCTGGGCTGAGTCACGGGTGTAAGTGCCGGCAAAGGGCTCGGCTGGGGAGAAGGGTGGTGAGGATTTCCTCGCTGGGGTGGTGGAGAAGGCTGCAGGAAGCCTGGAGGGTTTTGGGGAACAAGTCTAAGGACGAGTGCCTGGAGGATCTGTGTGAAAGCGAGAAGATGTTGGGGAGGAAGGGCTGGCTGAGACCTGGAAGTCGTTTCTGATGAAACCATCGGCTGGCAAAAGGGGAAGGAGGTGGCGGCTGCGTGGCGACGGTTCTGCGAGCTGGGTGGCACCGTGAGTAGGGGAGCGAGTGGGGTGCGATAGCCGTGCTGTGCTCCCCCAGAGCTTGGGCCTTTCCAGGCAGCCCCAGGAAGGTCTCCCTGACCCTCCACCAGGGAGTTACTTTTGGTTTGGGAAGTGCTAAACCATTCTCGGGGCTTGAGCGGCGAGGGGGCAAATCGGTGGCAGCTCCGGGGCTGGGCAGAGGAGCCTCGGTGAGGCTGGTGTGATGGCCACCGATGCTGATGCCTGCCTGCAAGGGGCAGGGAAGAAATACAGAGCTGAAGAGGCATTAGAAAAGTTGCAGCAGGCCCTAAGGCTGCGCAGGGGCATCTGCTGCTCTCTTCGGGGTAGAAACGTTGCTGTGGGGACTGTCAGTGGGTGGTTTCTTTGGATGAGGAGAGGGTGACCAGATCCTATTGAATATGTGAAATTTTGAGATGCCAAACGATGAAAAACAAATAGCACAACCCTCTTGCCCAGAGCGGTGCATGGGGGTGGTACCACACAGCCAGGGGGTGGTGGGGGATAGACCCCCACCCCAGCAGGGCAGGAAGCCTGTGAAGAGGGGAGATGCCCAAAGCCCTCCGTTGTCAGGAAGCTCAAGATCTTTCAGGCTTATGCTAAGATCACTGATTTCCTCAAGGAAAATCCTGCATCCCAAAGTAATCTGCAAGGAGGTGTCTTAAGATTTTTCTGAATGAGGTGTTGTTCCCCCACGCTAACACCAGGAAAAGCCCCCGACGAGCATCCTGCAGGTCAGCGAGCAGGGTATGTCTGCTGCGGATTGAGTCACAGGAACAGAGGGTTTTGACATTGCTAGGAAAAAAAAAAAAAAAAAAGGTGCATCCTGATGGCTGTCACAGAAAAGACTCGCTCCTTTCAGCAGCTTGCTGCTGCAAAATACACTTTATACAAGATAAAGGTCTCTTCTGGGGAGTTTGAATGGCTGTTCTTAGCTATTGACAAGCTTGGAGTTAGCAAAATAGGCTCTTCTTTCTTTTCTGTCAGCATAATAAATATAAATGTACTGTGATAAAGAGTCAATGGAATATAATAAGTTCTTACACAAGTAAATTTGTTTAATTTTGTTCCCAGACAACAGTAACAAAGGGATGCTGCAGCGAATGCCTCGCAGTGATAGAGTTTGACTAGGGAGAGGAAATTAGATCCTGTTTCTGAAAGGGGAGAGAGAGAGTGAGGCTTTGTGAATGAAGAACAAATCTGAAACGTGCTGCTGCTTCCCTCCGTTTATGCTCAAATATCAATGCAGGGAATAACAGTAGAAGCTGCAGCTGGAGAGGGCACTAGGGGTCACCACTGTCTTACCTATATCATCTGGATTTAATTCTGAAGGAAGGTAAATAACATGATAGAAACCAAAGCCAGGCTATTCTGATTTATTTTTCTTTTTTTCTTTTTTTTTTTTTTTTTTGTGGGCCTGACAGCTTGCATTTAATTTCTTCCTTTTCTCCTCCTGCCTGCCTTCTGTCTGTCTCTCCCTTAAAACAAACCCCAGGGAAACCTGTGGGATGCAGCCAGGGAGGATGCTGTAGAAGCAGGGGAGTTGCATCAAAATTTCCTCTGTGCAGCTCCCATTTATTCAGAGCAAAGGTTAGGCAAATCACAAACGCTAAGTAAGTCAGGCAGAATCGCGTAACAGCCTTGGCATGTTTCTGCAAGTACCGCAGAGCAAACTGATTACCGTAATGAATAGCACCCTTGTAGTCCAGGGAGTAACTCCTGATATGTTTTGCTCTGCCTGGTGAACAATCCCATGTCTGAAGATCTTTCTCGCCCGATTTCTCCCGTGACCGGATAGGTATCCCTGACATCTCATGAAACTGCATCCGAGAGCTGCATTAGAAGGAGAATTGGGTGTCTGGGTTGTGAAGAGAATTGCAAATCCTCTTCTCCAAGACTCTTTCACCTCATGTCTAGGAAGTAACCATTGCTGTGGGCTGAATCTATTGTCTGAGTGTTGTAATAGTGCATTTTAAGACAGGATGCAAGGTGTCTAGGGATAAAAAGTATTTCTCTGCTGAGGCAAGTGTTTTGCCTGGAGACAGACGGGCTGTCGGGAATACAAGACCTGATGAAGAGGTTGCACCCCCTGCCAGCCTGCCTTTTTTAGCTGTAGTAGTTGATCTTGAAAGACACGGGTTCCCTTTTCTCTGCAGAGAAATTATGGTAAATTGTCGTGGGTTTTATTGCAT